AAATGATGAGCTGTGACGGCATGTGGAGCATCACCTTGCCATCAGGCATTCTGAGGTTTATTGGGATGGCAAGCTCATGAGCAAGTATTCCGTTAAGAAGGTTTGGGACACGATTCGGCCCAGTTATGATAAGATTCCATGGTATGGCCTAGTCTGGAAGTCTCTTTGTACTCTAAGAGATAAGGTGGTGGTGTGGCTTATCATTCTTAATAGAATAACTACACTAGATAAAGTGCAAGTTTGGAACCCCTATGTTGATAACAGATGCCCTCTGCGTGCAACTGTTGTGGACTCCAGGGACCATCTCTTTTTTTAGTGCTCGTATTCACAGCAGATTCTCCAGGCTGTTTTTCACTCGCAGGTCTATTCTGGAAGGTGTTGGGAAGATAATTTGGGGATAGCCATAAACCAATTCAAAGTGGCTTCCAAGCCTCTGATCGCGGAAAGTTGCTTTGGATGACAGTGGTGAGCGAGCTATGGAGGGAGCGATATAGGCGTTTATATGGAAGTGGTGCTCTGACGCAAGTACAGCTGTTGAAGAAGTTGCAGCAGATGTTGATTCTGTTGCGGAATGGTTTCCCTCAAATAAGTTTGGCTATTAGTGAGACTCAGATCCAAAATATAGTGTAGAGTTCCTGTTTTTGTTTGCTTTTTAGGCAGGTTCTTATTGATAGTAGCTGGGTTTATAGTTTTGAGTGGCTGTATGTACCATGTGACTAGGGCTGGGAAACGGTACGTTCTGGTCCAGACCAGACCATATATACGGTCTATGGTCCAGACCGAGAGGCTAAAGTATAGACCACAGACCAGACCACAGACTATAAGGTCCGGTCCAGACCACGCCTGTGCGGCCTGGTTCGGTCTGGTCTGGTCCAGATAGACCACACTCAACGAAAAATGAATAATTTGTTTAGTCAATCACACAAAAAATTGAACCTATAACCAAGAAAAATAATTGTTATTTGCCTTAAAACATTAATCCTAACATGCATGAATAATTTTGATACTCTAAATCTTAGTACATAACAAAGATACAAAGTAAAAACATCCCAGCTTGCACCATAACGTCATAAACATTAACATAATGTCATATGGAGACACTATTATCTCTACTCTCTCGTTAAATGTGGTTGTGAATGAAGGAGGGAAGAGATTCACAAAATTAAGGTTGAGACTTGGGTGTCGTTGTGGGAGTTTGGAGAGTGGTCGAATGGGCTGTTAACAAGTATTGACAAGTCAGTTGGGTCCACGGTTTGGTCCGGTAAACCGCGGTCTAGACCAGACCAGACCAAGAGATCAAATCATAAAATAATACAGACCATGGACCAGACCAGACCATACTTCACGGTCTACGGTCCAGACCAAACTGTGCGGTACGGTTTGGACCACGGTTTTTCTAACGGTCTGGTCTATTTTCCCAGCCCTACATGTGACTGGGGGACTCTGATGATTGGTGCCAGTTTGAATGGTTTTCTATCATTCTTACTTGATGAATACACAACTTATTCATAAAAAAATGATGAGCTGTTTTTTTTTTTTTTTTACGGATCTAAGAGTGAAGAACACTTTACTATTGAATGGTTATCCAAAATATTAAGTGTGTGTTATATAAATGTATTAGATATATGATTACTTGACTAATTGGTTAATTGGTTTGATTGATTAGTATTATTTGAAACCAAATCAAATTATTTGAATATAACTGGTTAAAATAATTATCATGGTAAGGAAAGGGACAAGGACTTGTTTGGGTAAGGTTTAGAAATTTTAATTTTAATTGGGGGTAAATATGTCAATTTATTGTGTTTTAGGGCGATAAATTTTGAATTTTAGAGCGACGAATAGTGATTCAGCATATTAAACACCCCTAAGTGGAGGAATAGAGATGAGGTTGAAAATGAAAATGATTTTAACTTTTTTAATTGATATGTAGCTAACTTAATGATATAAAATGATGGTGTTTTGCTTTTTGGATAAGAGTTTCAACCGCTGATATTCCAGTTGAATTGTCATTCCTACATGTGCAAGTGAGATCAATAAAAGAGAACTATGATGTTGCTTCACCCTTCTTCTCGCATGTATTGTAATTTGTAAGTTGTCATCATACCAATACTATATGGAGGTTCTCCATAGAATATCTTTCATTCAAAATTTCCAGCTCTCTGAGTGATTATAGGAAGGGTAATTTTGGCATACTAAAAGTAAAAAAATTGATAGAAGAATTATTTAAAAAAAATCCGCCAGCATCCCCTAGATTATCCTAATAAAATAAGAACTCTATTGAGATTAGGTTTATGTTTCTTGGAATGACCCATCTTTGATTTAATATTAATAGTCGAATATATTCCAAAATTTATTAGTAGAATATGTTTTCAAGAAGGACTCTTCTTTCATTTTTGGGTTTATACAACATATTAAATATTACAATGTTTCCGAGAGTTTGTATATTAGTTTACAGATGATTTTGTTTGAAGCAATGATTGTGAGACTGTATCAGAAGTTAATCGTAAAAATTAGTGGTAAGGTATTTTGTACTAAAATACAGTTCAACAATTTTGTACGACTAAAATTGCTTAATATTTGGGGTTCAGTATTTTCGGTCCGACCTTCAGGTATAGTACGATTTCTAACACATTGGTTTACAGTAATCAATCTACTGTTCAACTTTTACAACTTTTCATATGCCCGCTATATATCATAAACATATTCTATTAATTACTAATATATAATATTTACCAAGAATATATAATTTTTCAGAGCGTGTGCTATAATTCGGAATCGATAGATAAAATTTCATGTCAAGGAAAGAACCATGGATGATGTGTCAATTGCCATGAATTCAGATAAACAAAAATTATCCAGAGATCAGACATCTTTGCTAAGAATCCTATGATAGACTAAGTCAATGATCAATAAAAGTTGGTTGAGAGTCACTCCTAATTTTGAAAATCATGAGTTAAGGCATATTTTATAAGATAATGAGCTTAACTATTATGTTTGATAAATCGAGGCATAATGTCTTACATCGAGAGTTTACAAACCTCTATATTGGAGATGTCAAGATTAGATAATTGAACGATCATGAGTGGATATGATATATGTTGTTTATGAAAACTATCAAAATAGTGATTGATGGTTGAGTATTTTGATTGAGAACTGAGTCTATACTCCGTCTATATATGTCTTATAAATCTACATGAAAAGTATACTCATGAGAGTATGAATATTTAATTATAGGATGTTACAACAAAACAAACCATTTTAGAAATTGAAGATAGTAAGGTACAAAGATAAATTGATTTTACACAAAATAAAATTGTTCAGATCAATGAATAAAAATATTCTCTGCATAGAATCATCAAGTTAGCAAAACAATGATTCAATTCAGTCTTTAAACCTTGAACACAAGTACATATATCTATCAGTCTCTATTACATGCACTTTGCAGTTTAGTGTGCATTCATATCGAGTGTGGGTCAGGGAAGTGGAAAGTTATTTTTGTAGTACCAGAATTCATGTTTGACTCTCACTAATCTATACATAAAGTGGGAAATAATCTTTCTAATAGTATGACCATCAATAATAACTCTAATCACTATAATTATTTTGATTATTTGAAATTACAAAATTATTGTTTGTCATATTTGTCATAAGTTAATTCACATAAGTCAAAGTTGAAGAGAATTGATCTTTTTTTTTTGACAAAAAGAGAATTGATCAACCATCGACAAAATTAGCAAGACAAACCATAATTTTTATATAAGTTGATAGCATAAAGAGATTCAACTAAAGCTTTTCGAGCATATGATTCACTAAACTTGCATTTTAAAATTACATGCATTATTTAAACTATGATTCCGAGCATAATGTACAATTTGGGTACAAGTGATTGATTGTGAAAGTTATTCCATGGGTAGGACAATAAATGTCAATTTGGCAAATGTTGATGATCCTCTTGATCATAATATTTGTATGTTATATATGGTAAAAAAATATATATTATTATTTTATTTGTGCATCTATTAGCTTTGTTAATTAATTGATAATCAAATTCGCAAATGAAAGCCCTTCTCATTTGTAGCTACCTTGCCGTTGTTGAATCTACAAATTTGGGAATTATTGATTTCGCGTCAAAAGTGAAATTCATGTAATTTAAATCTATGTATTTTGTTGTGTGTTATAAGTCAGGATTATAAAAAAAAAGGCATTACAATAAATAAAACTTCGATAATAAAAGTGATGCATATGCACCACATCCTCTAATGGGAGTCAAAGCCGAATCCCAACCATCGATCAATACCAAAATATTGCAAGAGCTCAACGAATTGGAGCGAGGAATAGAGATGAGGTATATATATCAATTGCAATTTACTATCTCATTAACAATAAAATGCTAACCTTTTTCAAAATAGGAACGAGTGGTGTTATGTTTAATGCGAACACTGTCCATGAAAAGGTGAAGAAGACTTCGACGAGTACTTTGGTGGGAATTGTACGACAACATCGGGTATGATTTCTAGACAAAACCACTACATGATCCTTTGTGTTTAGTTTTTTTTTTTTAATTTCATTCTTATGTATACGAATCGATTAGGATGTCGAAAAACTCTATATATGTGTTTATTTTTCTATGTTGTCACTAACTGAATGATTTAGATTCTTTTATCATGCCAAATAAAAGTGCATATTTGCTTCCAACATTTGCTATTTTTTTATGTAGTTAATTGAATGTACCCGTCCAACGGGCGGGCCCTAATCTAGTATCGAATATCGATATGTTTTTACATACGCCACAAGTCGGTAATGGTATATATCGGGTCAGCACAAGCCCAGACTCCGAAACTGGCAGTTTATATTGAGAATTCCGGGACCGATATCACTGAGGCCCACTCCACAAAGTCCATTGAGCCCAGCCAGCCCACGACTTCTATCTGCGCTCAATGACCCGGATTTCTCTTATCCGCCATTGGCAATCAGCTGGGAGCTCGCCCAACACAGAAATGGCGCTCTCCAACGCACTGTCGCTGAAACTTCCCCTGAAGCCACCTCTTCATCCACCTCCCTCCAATCTCCACTCCCTCTCCCTTCCTCCCCGATTCAAATCTCTTCCAATCCATTCTTCTACCCTCTTCAGGTCCCGGCTTCCGAAACCGCGAACTGGACTTCTCGTAAGGAGAGCAGTCGAAGAGAGCCGGGAGGAGCAAACGGAATCGGAGCAATTGAATGAATCCAGGACGGCGGCGGCGGAACCATCGGCGACTCCGAGCGAGAAAGGCGGACAGGAGCAGAGCGATTTGGGAGAAGAGATAAGGAAGGCGATGATGGAGAGGAAGAAAGCCGAAGAAGGCGGCGCCGGGATTGGCGGGGATCTGTTTAACGGAGTGGCGGAGGAGATTCGAGAGATAGAATGGCCGTCCTTCGGTAAAGTTTTGGGAACGACAGGCGTGGTACTGGGCGTCATCGCTGGCTCCAGCGTCGTTTTGCTCACCGTCAATGCCTTGCTTGCCGAGCTCTCCGACAAGGCGTTCGCCGGTAGAGGCGTTCAGGATTTCTTCAGTTAAGAAGAACGAAACGCGATTCTTATTCTGTACTATTCTTGCTTCATCAAGTCATCATCCAACCATGTAATTCAGATTCCTATTTGTACACATTCAGTTTGAGGATTTGGCGATCAATTGCATCTACTTTGGTTGTTCCTTTCTGTATCGGAATCAAACTTGCAGCCTCCCATTATTAGTAATAAACGCATACAAGTTTCAGAATTTCCCTCGGACATTACATTACCTCATGAAACAGATTACGAACACAGAAAATGGACAAGAGTGATTGAACACTGAAACTGGATTACTCAATCTAAGAAGGTATGCAGAATGGCGACGCAAACAAACGATCATGAAAACGAGGATAGAATTTGCTTATCAGTGATTCAGAAGGCAGCAAAACATTATTCGGCTGATCCGGCAGGGCCCACGAGGACGCCTTGAGAGCCGCCTTCCTTCTTGCTGCCTTCTTCATCCTTCATGTCACTATCACCTTTCCTAATCCTGATCTTGTACTTCGCTTCAAAGTCGGCGATCTCCTTCTTCTTCTTTTCCAAGGCTTCGTTCAGCCTGGCGATGACTTCCTCGATCCCTTCTTTGTTACGCTGCACGGCTGGTAGGACCTCCTTGATGTTCCTCTCAACGAGCACACCTCCAATCATGCGGTAGCAGCGCCTGGCAGGGTCTAGGGGTTGGATGGCGTTAATGACCAACGAGTGCTCGCTCACTTCCATCTCCAGTTCTGTGATTTTGGAGTATATCTGGTTTAGTTCGGTTCTCATGGATGTGTACATGTTTGCTATCATCTGCTCGTTAACCGGCTCTTTCGCGTGCATTTCGGATCTTCCAGCCATTCTCACTGTGAATGAAAGAGCAAGCTTAATCAAAAGCCCAGCATTTGCTAACCTGATTCAATCCCATAAGTTCTAATCGTTGAAATGCTTCCGAAAACAATTACAGGAGCATCAAAATCATAGCTAAGAACCAAGAACCCAGTGTAACATAAAACTCTCAGGAAAATAATCGTCGTATATGAATATATCCTAAAAACACAACATCCAATCATGATGGCACTTAGCAAGACTATAAGTGATCGAATCGCAGGAAATGTTGGGCACACAAAAGATGTCAGTGGGATTGACGCAATGCTATGTGTTCTTCTTCATTTGATTCAGAGAAACAATCAAATCATGCAAACTGATAAAGGTAGTCAGAATAACCATCTTCTAGGAATTATCCACTATTGGCATCAGGGTTTCAGCGGCACAAGTGTTTAACAGCAGCAGCTAGGCTGCATTGAACCACTGTCGTCTCTCATTTCTGTAGTAAACTTCTAGCTATTCAAGCGGAAAATCCAGCCATAGCCCTGTACAACCTTCAGAAATCTAACAAGTCAAAAGGCAATACCTACCTAGCCAGTCCCCAGAAGAAGCAGGTAGCTGCGCTGCAAGTCCACAACTACTTACTGATAACAAATTCCACCATTGCTCTTCCACTTACAGTAACTCCACAAGTTCACTCATAGTTACTTTCTGTACCTAAACTATTGAAGGAGGGAAAACGACGGTTGATGAAGATCCATTCCAAGTTCACTCATAGTCACTTTCTAACCTAGCCAATTCAATGTAACAACTGCTACGACGATTCCAATCGAACTGTATACTAAGCAGAACAACCACACCCAAATCCAACCGCGGCAACCCCAGAAATTACAGTATCCAAATCGAGGAAACAAAGAAAGAACAAGGAAAGCTCACCTGAAGTTTAAGGTTGAGGTCGCCGGCGGCGGCTTTGGTAATAAAATAGGAGAACAAACAATCGGGAAACCACAATCGACAAAGAAAATCGAAGGGGGAGACGCGAAAGATTATAGTGCAAGACCTCACAACCCCAATTTCTACTGCCCTAGTGCCCTTCTCTTCCTCTGGATTTTTTGACCTTTCCTTGACGAACCCTCAGTCAGTTGTTTGTTTCTCAGAACTGGTTCTTGCGAAGGCGAAAGTGCGGTGGAAGAGAGATTTTGATCGAAGACAGTCTCACACACTAACCAGTCTACTGTTGGGGACTACTCCACAGTTATTCTGGGCTCAATTAATTTGATTTCACTTGAGCCCAAAACCTTCCTCGTCTGGAATTAAAACGAAAAGAAATTACGTAATAGTACCTAAACTTTTCATTTTGATCGAAGAAATTATGTTTGGTACCTTAAAATTTTTATTATGACATATATCAGCATGATCCAATCCACCAATCTATGAATTCTTTCAATTTGTCGCATCTAACTCCCAGCAACATGATTGCACTCTATATTTGATTCTCCTAGTGATGGCAACGGGACAGATCTACGGCAGATAGTGCATATATGTTATCCTACGCAAAGTAGTTCAGATATTTACTTATACCCACATAAGAACTTGGTGGAAATCAAAATCATGCCCATACCTAGGGGTGTACATGGTTCGGGTAGTTCGAGTTTGGTCATTTTAATCACCCAACCCATATACTACAGTTTTGAAAATGTAATCCAACCCAACGTCCCAACCCATAAAAAATTAAATCCTACGATTTGTGTATAATTGGGTTAGGTAGGATTGGAGATACTTTTAATTAAATATCCAACCCAACACAAAAAAGGCAACTATTATACACTACAAAAATATTATATAACTAATTAAGATTTTAAGCAAATAAATGGAGGCAAAAAGTTTCAATATGCATCAATATTGTTTGGATTTTAATGAAATGCAATTTATTTCAACATATGTCTTTTTTCATAAATATTTGTCGAAGTAAACTAAAGTAGTTATAAGGTAACATATTCATAATATCTTCTTCTTCTAAAATTGTACACACAAGAAAAAAGATTACGTGGATCATAGCTTATATTAAATCTACATCTCAATATTAAGTTGAAGAATGTATTAGAATAGAGAAATCACAAGAGATAAATATGATAATATAGCTTAATTTTCTCACAAATATGTTTATTTACGACACAAATATGTGTTGTGTACGAACACTTATGACAATAGTTAAAAACGGGTTGGGTCGGGTTCTACGTGTTGCGTTACCCAAAATCCGGACCCAACCCAATAGAGATGGGTTGTACAAAAGAAAATCCTCACCCAACCTTAAACTGTAATTTTGACGATAAATACGGGTGGATTAGGTCGGGTTGGACGGGTGGGTCGGTTTGCGGGTTGTTTTGTTCACCCCTACCCATACCTGCTCGAATTTCGGGTACTCACGGTTAGGGGTGAGCAATAGGCGGACTGGGTGGGTTTTAGTCATAAATTGACCCACCCGCTTACTAGCAAGTTGGAATAATTGTGACCCGCAATCTACCCAAATACTTCTGCGGGTTGGGTTGGGTGGGTGGCAGATGGGTGCGGTTGGGTCGCGGGTCAACCCGTAAAGCAATTCTCCAACTAGCCAATAAGAAAGTTGACTAACATTTATAATAAGTTCATAGCAAATTAGTAAGACTGTATCAATAATTTGTGGTTTTGATACAATTAATAATTTATGTTTTGCATCCCAATATTTAATGGATATTAACAATAATTTGCATACCAATATCTAATATGTAATGGATATTGCACAACACAATAATCAATAATATTAGTAAAAACTATTTTTTATTCTCTACCTTTTGATGTATATGATCATATTGTACTGCAGTTCAAAAATATGTGAATATTCTATACTATAAGAAATAACATTTTTTCATGTAAAAATAAGGTCATACGGGTAGTGATGGCAATTTCAACCCGCCCCGTGGGTATTACCCGACCTGACCCGCGATGGGGCGGGTATTACCCGACCCGCAGTAGCGTGGGGCGGGGCATGGGTATCTACTTCCGACCCGCCCTGCCCCACCCCCGCCCCGTTCTAGACTCATTTTATCTCAATTTCTTACAATATCTATACATATTTCTCCTATTTTGACTTTTCTTCAACTAGTTAGAGTTGATCTTTCAACTTGTTAGGCTCAATTATCCATTCTATTATCAATATTTTTCATTCTTAAAATGTTTTTCCCTACGTTTTATTGTAAAAAGTAAAATTTACTTGTATTTTTTTTGAACATGTAAGAGTGGGTCGACCCGCCCCGCCCCGTACCCGCGCGAGTTTTCCCCGCCCCGACCCGTAGTAGCGTGGGGCGGGGCATGGGAATTGAGGTACCCGCCCCGCCCCATTGCCATCACTACATACGGGTGACCCGCAATCCATCCACCCACCCACATAAGTGCGGGTGGGAGATTTATCAATCCGCAATCCACCCACATGAATCACCTACTGCGTACGGGTCGGGTTATTTGAGGGTGGATCGATATTAATCTGTTGATTAACCACCCACGTGCCCACCCCTACTCACAGTTATCTATGGGTAATAATTTCTCTTTATAACTCCAACCAACAAGTTAACATTCACACGTATACTCACATTACATGAGAAAAAATACGACAATAAATCACTAGAATGAAGAAAATTAATTAAAAACAATATAATTTCATGAAAATATTATATATGTATACTAAATATAAAATATGTCGAGACAAATAATCGGGCATGTTCGAGTTGGATAGTGAGAAAATCATGTCCACCCATTACCCGCAATATTCGAATTCGAGTTTTACTCGTACCCACTAAAGATCTTCGAATTCAAATTTTACCCTATCCAACTAGATCGGATTCGGGCCCATATCCATAATTGCGGATAGATTCCCGCTATGACATGATAACCGGTAGTGTATTATCACGTTTTTATTGATAGCAAAGCACAACAAGTCAACAACTACAATATGGATACGAACAAGGGCTTGGTCAAGTTGTATTACCACTAGCCTAAAACCTGGAGGTCCCAGGTTCAAATCCCCTTAAGTAGTACCTTAATTACAAACAAGAAACCTATATCACCCTTATAAAAAAAATAAAAACTACAATATGGAGGAGGGGGTAAAAAAAAATCTACATCTACACTATTTATTATAGCTGAAAAGTAAAATTGCTCATCCAATTCAAAACTCCCTGGCCTAAGAGTGTTTTGCGGAGTACTCTCGGAAGAAGTTTTTAATTGTGCTTAAGCCAGAGCCGCCCATTGTCTTGGCCTTAAATTCACTGGAAAGTCCATTTGTCGGTCTTCTTCGTCTCTCCCTGCAGCACTTCACAGAACTGAAATTGGAAACTGGTCGACGGAGGTTTCAGTTTGCGTTTCTTCCCCTCTTCAGATCGGAGATGCAATCGTGCAACGCTGTAACGAGAGAGAGTGTTAGGAAGGTAGGTAGCTGGCAGACTTGGCACCTTCCATCTCCAATTGTGTGCTCCGCTTGAAAACCCACCGCCGGCAATTCTCCTCTAATATCCATGTGTATCTTTGTGCGTTGCTTCCCCTTGCTCGATCGGAGGCTTGATTCCTGCATTTCTCCAACGAAAGAGAGTGGTAGGGAGGTCGGAAGCTAGCATACTGGATGGGCCCCTTCCACCCCCAATTGGGTGCTTCGCTTGAACAGCAACCGACCACGATTGCCCTCTAATTTCTCTCTGTTTCCTGCAGCCCCATCGATTGTCGAGTTCTACGCCGGAATCAATACCAAACGGCAGGTACACTTATCTATTCTGTAGCTAATGGAGTTATCCAAGTTGATGGCCAATAGCTTTTGTTGCTGCCTTGGCAAGAAACTGCATTGATGATGCTTCTAGTGGAGGAGGCCGAGAGGGAGGGAGGGGAATTGATAAGGGAATATGAGTGCCCCTACTGCCACAGTTTGTTCTGCGAAGGGTTCCAGCGGCTGGGGCAGGACGAGCCTGGCAGGGAAGATATCATGGTGATGGATATGGCCAAGAGCAACG